CATTAAATTCCAGTGAAATATATTTATGTTTGTGGTTGTAATGTGACAAAATATGGAAAAGTTCAAGGGGTATGAATACTTTTGCAAACCACTGTACATCCTCAAATTACTACCTCCGCCAAGGAGGTTATGCTTTTGGTCGCATCTGTCTGCCTGTGGACAAAATTACTCAAAAACCCATGGACGGACTTTCATGAAATTTTTATCACAGGTGGGTATTGGGCAAAGGAACACACCACGATCCGGATCCAGGTATTTTTTGAAGGATTCTTCACTATTGCAGGATAAGGGAAATTACAGATGTCAAAGTTCTTCACACTTATTTTTCTCACCACGATAGTGTGAATATTTTTTTTTTAGAAAATTTAAACTGTAATCTTAATGTTTATTTCCTTGCAAACTGTTTTTATATGGTACCTTCATTGTATGGGCACAAAAGATATCTAGTTGTGTTTGGAATGATACTGTGTTAAGACATTGATTCAATATTATTGTTCTACATGTGTTTTCTGATAAATATGTTGGAACAAATTTAAAATTTGATTTCCATCATTTACTTTTATGTACGAATATATGCAACATGATGTTACTTTTAGTATTAAGCATTGGATAGGTCACTTATCCAAGGGGGATCCTTTTAGCATAATTGACCTTATGGCCTTGGCAGAGGTTTGCACTCTCTGAGTGCTTCTAGTTATGTTTTAAAGTTAACTAAATTCTAGATGGCTACCACAGCTCACTGATTATAAAACACACAAAAATGGCAATACACTTGTCAGTTTCCAACATATCGACTTAAAAGCTGGTGTGGTATTAAGTGAGATTAATCCCCAACATATATTCTGACAGTAAAAGTCTGCAAGATCTTTGTTTTGAAGGTTGCAAGTAACTTTTTGAAGTTCTCTCTGTAGGTTTTTTCAGAAGAATGTATCGCTAAATTGCTGAACAGCTCATTTCGTATTGATGCTTCCTCTGGAAGGTCAGAAGTCACTATTGGATAGAGTCTCTTACTGTGCTCAAACATGCTTTCGGAGTACATTAATCAGTGCAGAATCGAAAGAGGCGTTGGAAGAAAACTTTTGGCTGCTCTGACATGTTGCTGTCACTCAAGCTGCTGAGTGCAACAAGAGACACTGAACGGCTGTTGCCCCTTTGTAAATTACAAAGAACAAATTATGTCCATGTCTTTTTTTAGGGTTTTTAACTTTCCACATAACTTAAAAAATCTAAAAAAAAAAAAAAACAATGCTTAAAATCCTAAAGGAGACTGGCTATGGTGTTTTGACATAAAAAAACCTGCAGCTGGGTGGTCTTTGAAGGTGTCAGTCAGCCTTTCGTCAAATTATTCTAATGAGTTGGAGACACTTCCTGGGTCACCTTTTCAGAGGTCTACAGTACCTGTTCCATTCAGAGGCATACAGAGGTAGGGTGTTTCAGTCTCCCCTCCACCTCTGTGTGTCTTCTGAATGCACTGAGTTGGTCAGAACATGTGTCAATAACAGTATGGGATGTCTTCTGAAAGAATGTGTCCATCATTTAATATATGTCTACAACTGATTAACTTTTGGAGTTAATTCAACGTGGTTGCCATATTAACATTAACCATTAATGATAATCCCACTTGTGGCCTAGCTATGCCCTGGGTTTTGTTGAAGGGGAAATGTATCCAAGACATCTGTGCAGCAGTGAGTTGGTTATTACCACTTGCTATTGCTAAGTTTTATGTTTCTGCTTCAAATGTAGCCTTTGTTGTATTGCACTCTGGGCCCTTACTGGAACAGGGATTCACTCCTTGAATGCTGGTGGTTACAAGTGATAAGATGTCTGCAATTACAGAGGTCTCTATATCGCATAAGCCCCTTTTTCCAAGACAGTTCCATGAAATGGCTGCACAGATCAGTCAGTCTTTCAGCTCCCTTGGGTCATTCCTGAATCACAGGTGAAGCCAGCCATTTCCTGCTCACATGTTCAGAAATTAACTTGACAGTGTGGAAACAAAACAGGCATGGGACAGAATTCAGATGGGCTTAACGCATTTATTTTATCGGTCTTGTATCAATCAAAAAAACAACTGAAATAACTTACCTTAGCGATCCTCTTAGTGGTTCAGTATTTGTAAAACCAACTACAAAGTTGCTGTGCCACATCATTACCAATARTCTTTCAATAATAAATCTGTCTGTTGATGTTCAATCCTGCAGGCAGGGCGGTCGTTCACTAACGTCATCAGTTTATTATCATTATTGACCTGCGGCTCCTAAGTGTTTTTATTTTGTCACAAGTCYCCCTGCCGGCTCTGACGCTACCTCCCTTGGCGGCTCAAAGGGACATCAGAGACAAGCTCTTTTCTATCCCCCTTGCCACCTCCCTGCGTCTTCTGAATGACCCGAGGAGTACAGAACACACGTCAGGCCTGGACTGAGCTGTCTTTTATGAGTGACATGAGTAAAATGTCTTATGTTGACAACCCTTATAGCAGAGGCAAAAGCAAGACTAGGGGCTTATTTTGAATAATGCTGCATCATAGCCAAAGCCACTTAAAGAGTAAGTGRTATGAGCCAACCAGTCAAACAGGATTACAGTGGGAACAAATGATTTTGGTGAATCACATCATACAATCACTCATAAGAAACATCGTATTCATGCTCCTCTGAGAACTGTAGTTATTTTGTGTGTGTGTGTGCGTGCGTGCGTGTGTGTGTCATACACCCTGTTGTATCATTACAAAAAAGGTTAACTTAATAATTTATTTCCTAACACCCTTTTAACTCAAAGAAAATGTACCGGTAGGTTTTTGTTTTTTCTCACCACGAATGGTCAGATAATAACTAAAGAAAATATAAAAATACTCACATAACCAGAGATGAGGCCAGCTCGTTTTAAGAAGTGGCTGCAGAGTTGGGGGAGACCACTCAGTCTTGAATCAAAAAAATAACTGAGAAGCAAAAGACAAAAAGACAGAAAATCAACTCTACTAATTATGTTTAGGCAGTTTAGTCAGTACTTTTCAGCATGGTCAAAATAAAACCTAATTCATCTGAATTTCACCAAATACTGTGTGAATCCATCCATTTAAACAAGGAAGTGTTGAAAATTCTTGATTTATTATTGTTGTTGCCAAAGAATCCCCTCAGGTTGTTTTCATGGCACATACTTTATTATTACGTCACAGAAATCCTGGGATTAAATACAAACAATTAAGATCTAGTTTAGGCAGTGGTGTGCCGTCAGGGCCAGCATCTACATTTTAGAGCATTTTATATTTTTTATAATAGTTATTAATATTATTATAAGGATATTATTATTATTTTTGAATCATCTGTTTTCTTCGTTTCATAGTTTTTCTCCTGGCTGCACAGCTTCCAACAGCTTGTATTTATTTAGAGCTTTTATCCAAWCATAWTTCGATCATCATCTGTTGCTAGGGTCCAGAAATCTGCCTCAGGCCTTCAGYARGAACAGCGAAGGCACCTGGAGGGTGAAACACATGGCAGTGATACTGRTGCTTTGACCAATCAGGTGCTGAGGTGAAGACACCACAGCCTGCTAGCTGGCCTCAGACAGCGTCAACATTTTCACATCGTTTGATTGGTTGATCAGAGAGCAGGAGTCASAACKGGMAAACTAGATTTCTGTAGCGTCTTACAAGCTAAATGCTGAGCGGACATTCTCAGAGTTACAGAAAATTAAAACTTAACAAAAATACAGAACAGAACAGACTGGACTTTCAGTGTTAGCTTCGTGGAGGTGACAGAAAAGGACTTATTGTTGAAACAGAAACGGGAGGACCTGTATGACAGAAGAGCCAGATTTTTCTTGAGGAATAAAAGGAGAATGACGTTTTTAAACGGACAATAAAAAGTTTCGGTGAGTAAAATATATGTTATTTAAATGTTTTATTTGGTTATCTTCTTATTATATAACTGTATTGATGCTGTTGTTAATGTATGACACAGCTGTGGCTGCAGCTGAGAAAACTTGTTAACTGTGTCGCTTCAGTGATGACTTTCATTCTGGCTTCATGTCTGTGGTGCAGAAACACCTGTCTGTGGTGCAGAAACACCTGTCTGTGGTGCAGAAACACCTGTCTGTGGTGCAGAAACA